GTGCCTTCTTGTGCAGGGGATAGACACCACACATGTACTGCTACAGGGCGGCAGGGATGCGCAAAATTACATATACATACATGACTTTGTGTTTGCGCAGCAGAGCATTACAAAGCAGCTTCTGTTGTAAAACAGCACACTTAGTAAAAAACACACACACAGCACACAGTTAACCCTTTGATAGCTCCAGATGTTAACTCCTTCCTGCCTAGTGCCATTCATACAGTGTCACTGCTTTTTATTAGCACTGATCACTGTATTGGTGTCACTGGGGATGTCAGTGGCAATTCGTCAGTTCCCCCCAGTGTCAGAATGCCCGCCCCAGTTCCGCAATAAGTTGCTGATTGCCATCATTACTCGTAAAAAAAAAAAAATCCAGTATACATACCGCCATTTGTAGACACTAACTTTCATGTAAACCAATTGATTTGCACGTATTGGGAATTTTTTTTTTTAGCAAAGACATAGCAGAATACATTTTGGCCTAAATTTATGACAAAATGGGATTTTTTACATTTTTTTGGATATGTTTAATAGCAAAAAGTCAAAAATATCGTTTTTTTTTTGTTTATAGCACTAAAAATTAAAAACGCAGGAGGCGTTCAAATACCACCGAAAGAAAGCTCTATTTGTGGGAATAAAAGGACATAAATTTCATTTATGTAGTGTTGCATGACCACGCAGTTGTCAGCAGGGATGGACTGACAACTCATGGGGCCCCCAGGCAATAGGGGATCATGGGGCCCCTGTGTCCTTGCCCACACTCAAACCACACCCAAAAAAGCCTATGAAAAGTACCAGGGGCATCTCATGGGGCCCCCTACTGACCCTGGGCCCTCGGGCAGTGCTCGAGTTTCCAAATGATCAGTCTGCCCCTGGTTGTCAGTTAAAGTAATGCAGAGTCGTAAGGGATATAGATCCTCTGAAAGGCAAGCGGGTGCATTTGGGGTTTTTTGTTTTTTCAAAAAGAGGGACAACTGAGGAAGATGTGAAGGTGCCTACACATTTAATCATTGCTGCTCACCTCACAAATACACCTCTCCTTCATAAAAGTACCTATAAAAGCCGAAGAAGCAGCAACACGCACTGTAAATTATTAGTCACCAACTACATTGTAAGTTTGTATGAGCGCTCCTCCTCTCACACACCAGTGACTCCACATATAAAACACAAGTGCCGAGCCGCCGCCACACGCTTAGCCACAAAGCTGCCCTGCCAGCCAATCAGCACATCTTTTCCGCAAGGCCAGCCAGCAGCTATAGGTGCATGCCTTCGAGACAGCTGATTAGCTCTGCCTCAGTGGGCGGGGTTTTGCAATGACGAGAAGCAATTCTGTCCCGCCCCCTACCTGGTAAGTGCAAGGAGGTGGGCGGAGAGTCGGGTTAATGGAGCTCCAGTGAAGGAGACTGGCGGGTTGTCACTAGAGGATAGGTGGGGGTGTGTGTTGCGTCACGTGTCTGGCATGTACGTGTCTGGTGCGCGGCGAGCGGAGTGCCATCTCAGGACAGGCTGGCGGAGGTAGGATGAGGTCATGCGGGCTGTATGTAACCCGAGAGAACACATAGCTCACTCACAGCCTATTATCGGCCCTCGGCTACGTCTCCTGACCCGGGATCACATGAGGAAGACACGGGAGAGGGAGAAGGCATGCGGGAGGTGCTGGGCGCAGCAAGCCGTGCTCGCTATGAAAGAAGACTTTGTCCTGACTCCATGCTGTAACATGGCCATCATCGGCTGCATCTACTACAGAGGGCCCCTCTTCTACAGGCTGGATGGCCTATAGAGCGATGTGTCTGCCATCAACGATTTTCTCTCGGCCTTTTCTTTAACCGCTTGCCTACCGGGCACTTTTACCCTCTTCCTACCACACGCCAATTTTCAGCTTTCAGTGCTGTCGCACTTTGAATGACAATTGTGTGGTCGTGCAACACTGTACCCAAGCAACATTTTTAGCATTTTTTAAGACAGAGCTTTCGTTTGGTGGTATTTAATCACCACTGGGGTTTTTATTTTTTGCTAAACAAACTAAAAAAGACTGAATTGTGAAAAAAAAATTTTTTTTCTTTGTTTCTGTTATAAAATTTTGTAAGTAAGTAATTTTTCTCCTTCACTGATGTGCACTAATGAGGCTGCAGTGATGGGCACTGATAGGAGGCAGTGATGGGCATGGACAGGCATCACTGATGGACACTGAAAGGCAGCACTCATATATAGCACTGATAGGTTGCACTGAAAGGCAGCGCTGATGGGCACTGATATGTGGCATTGATGTGCACTGGTAGGCACTGATATGTGGCATTGATGTGCACTCGTAGGCACTGATATGTAGCATTGATGGGCACTGCAAGGTGGCACTGATGGGGCTACACTGATCATCAGTGTAGATGTCCTCTCTGAGTAATGCTGATTACCGCTCTCCTCATGAGCTGTCAGCTGGAGGAGAGGACTGCCAATAACTGGCATTTCATATTTACATGTGATCAGCTGTGATTGGACACAGCTGATCCCACGACAGGGCCGACGTCAGCTGATCCCACGACAGGGCCGACGTCAGCTGATCCCACGACAGGGCCGACGTCATCGGCTCTTTGCAGTGATCGGTGATCCTCTGTCCCAGGTGCAGTTAGAGTGGGAGGACGTCATATGATGTCATCCCAGAACAAGAGACCCGCCGTCCTCCCATCATTACCTTATATGACAGGTGGGAAGCGGATAAAATACAGTTTTCACTCTTTTGTTTCCAAACTTCTGATCCCCCTACAGCCTCTTTGCAGCCACTTCCTGTCTCTGTGTGTGTGGCTGTCGCAAGTCATTTCCCAGGGCGGGCTTCTGGATGGTGACAATAATAGAACATTAAAGCAAAGGAAGACACACGGGCATGGTGTAGCCATTTTTCATTAACATCTTGTCAACTGTATAATGCAGGGATGCCCAACCTGTGGCTCTTGGACCAGGGGTGGACTGACAACTCATGGGGCCCCCGGGTAATAGGGGATCATGGGGCTCCTGTGTCCTTGCCCAAACTCAAAAAAGCCTTTGAAAAAGGTACCAGGGGCATCTCATGGGGCCCCCTACTGACCCTGGGCCCTCGGGCAGTGCCCGAGTTTCCAAATGGTCAGTTCGCCCCTGCCTTGGAGCCATCTGATGTGACCCTCAAACTGAATGCAGGCGTTTTGGTTTACTTTCAAAAAGTGCACCACAGCTGCAAGAGATAAGAAGCTATGGCAAAGTGCATCTAACCCACAGGTGTACTGTACTCACGGTGCATCAGTGCGAAAGCAGCCCTATAGGGGGCTCAGGACAGTAAGGCCTCATCTACATTTGCTGTTTGGATGGTGGTACAACCCCATAGTTGAGATTTGTTTTCCCACCAGAGGTTCTCAATCGTATTAAGTCTCACACACACACCCCATAATCACTGGTGTAGAGTCACACACACCCCATAATCACTGGTGTAGAGTCAAGCGTTACAATGGTGACCCTGCCCCATATTCCAGGGGACCCGTGCGGACTCCCATTCACATTCTGTTTTACACTTGGATAGGAGGGGTGGCATTTTCCAACTCTCTTGGTCCTCTCCGTTTTCCTGCTGCAAATGCTGAAAGCTTGCTTCTCATCCTCTCCCTGTCACTGACATTTAGCGGATACAGGAGAAAAATGTTGATTACACTATTCCAAATCACATAAGTGGCCTTCGCTCTTCAAATAGTTGACCACCCCTGGCATCATGCATATATACCATAGCAGGGTGGGCAGTCCTTAGGCCCAATTTCACACTAGAAGAGGAGCTCCAGTCCCCCCCCCCCCCCCCCCCCCCCCCCCAAGAAAAAAAAATTGAGTCAGCAGCTACAAATACCGTAGCTGCTGACTTCATATTAGGGCACTTGCCTGTCCAAGCATTCAGCTGTGTCTTCCTCCAAGCCAATACTTCAACTGGGTGATGGCGCCACCATCTTGACTAAGGGAAACCAACAGTGAAGCTTTGCAACTTCACAACTGGACTCCTGCTGCGCATGCGCAAAGCACATGGCACTTTGTGAATGGACCTCAGTCCTCTGGGACCTGTGAAGTTTCTGGGGGAAGGAGGGGGGGGCTCGAGCTTCTGGGTCAGTTCACCACTGAACTGAGCTGGAAGTGGAGTAGGTAACTGTCAGAATGAGGTACATGTTACCCCCCCTCAAAAGCTGCCCAATGTGGCCGAGGATTCAGACAAGCGGAGCTTCCCCTTTTGGGTGGAACTCTGACACCCTAAATGCAGTTTGCCTGTACCGGATTGCATAGTACACAATGACTGGTTGCAGTGCATTTGTAAAATTGGTGCATGAGCTATTTCGGTGTAATATGGTGCAGTTTGAGCCCATGTAAAACAGCACTGCACTGAATTGCCTGTAAATTGCACAGGAATGCAGTGTGCTTCCTGTGTGCTTCATAGGGAGTTATTTACTAAAACTGCAGTGTAAAAAATCTGCATAGAAACCAATCGGCTTCCAGGTTCTATAGCCAAAGGTTAATTGAACAAGCTGAAGGTAGAATCTGATTGGCTACCATGCACAGCTGCAGCAGTTTCTGAGTGCACCAGTTTTGGTTAATTCCCCCCCCCCCCCCCCCACAATGTAAACCTAGGATAATGCTGTTTTTGTGGGGCTCTGAGAATCTGTGCTGAGAGCATGCTCCCACCACACTGAGCAGACGATCATAGACCGCGCCTGGTCGCTGTTCACAATCAGGAGCCAGTGGAGTAGGCTGCCAATCATGTGACAGCCAATCGCGTGATTGGGAAGCCATCTCCTCCTCCTGGAGCGGAACTACGTCCTACTAATCTCTGTTTGATCTGCAGTTGCCATAGTGCTATACATGTGATCAGTTAAAAAAAAAAAAAAAACAGCCAGTTAATAGCTCGAGGGCCGGTTCACAACTGAATCGCACATGGTTCACATTCCTGTGCAATTCAGTGTGGTGCTATTTTTCAGTCTATTCATTTGAATGGGTTGGGATCGCACCAAAAGTGCATGCACAACTTTTCGAAAACGCACTCCACCGGACCGCATGGTACTGTTGGTACCATGCGATCCGGTGCAGACAAATTAACTCCATTTGCAATCTGTGTTTTTGGGGTGTTGTTGGGATTATATTGGCACCCGCAGTAGATCATACATTCAGTGTGTTTTGAAGCACGCTGGCAACTGTGACAGTTATCATTCAAGGCATGTCTTGAATGTAACTGTTTTGTGATTTTGGTAAAGCGGTAGTAAACCACGGCCTTTGGGGAATCCCCTGCAAGACAATGGCATAATGTGCTAGTATGTATTGCATACTAGCACATCATGAAATACCTTAGAACAAAGCTGTCCAGTAGTACGTTGTCACTGCTGACAGGGCTTCCATCTTTCCCTGGTCTTCCTTCCCGGTTCGCTGGCTCCAGTCCTTTGAATGGCTGAGCCGCAATGACATCACTGTCTTGGTATATACCATCCCTTCAGAGTTCATGTATCAGTGTATATGTGTGATAAGCTGCTTGTCCTCCAATGGCCAGGACTTGTGTTGACACCAGCGGCGGACTGACAACTCATGGGGCCTCCGGGCAATAAGGGATTATGGGGCCCCTGTGTCCTCACCCACACTCAAGCCACACCCAAAAAAGCCTATGAAAGGTACTAAGGGCATCTCATGGGGGCCCCTACTGACCGCGGGCAGTGCCCGAAAGCAGGAATGGTCAATCCGCCCCTGATTGACACGCCCCTGTGCATAGCCATTCACTGGATCAGTGTATTGCTCTTTTAGTGCTACCTGCTGACACACTTCCTGCAGTCTCCACCCCCACCTCTCTAAGCCCCTTATGCAGCTGAGACCAGAGGACCATGTGATCACTTCTAGAAAAAAATATATAATTTTTTCTTTCTATTATCTATACATAAGGTCCCCTCACATGGGCGCTCTGTATGTCTGGTTTTCACCTGTCCATTTATGGATGAAAAACGGACATCCATGTATTTCTATGGACTAGCAGATGTAAACAGATGATCATCTGTTTACATCTGTTAACCACTTGCCCTCCTGAGGATTTACCCCCCTTCCTGACCAAGCTATTTTTTGCGTTATGGCGCTGCTTTTCTTTGACAACCGTGTGGTCATGCATCGCTGCACCCAAATTAAATTTACGTCCTTTTTTTTTTTTTCCCCCACGAATTGAGCTTTCTTTCGGTGGTATTTGATCGCCTGTGCGTTTTTTTTAATATTTTGCGCTATAAAAAAAAAAAAGACCGTCAATTTTGAGAAAAAAACAATATATATGACTTTTTACTATTAACTAGTTTCCAACCGCAGGTAGCCGAATGACGGCTGCACTGTGGCCGGCCAGCTCTGGGAGGCCATCATATGACGTCCTCCCAGAACACGCTCTCCTGCGCACCTCCGGCGATCGCTGTGTCCATAGGATGTGGTGATGTAGTAAAAGGCCAATCACGGCGACCTTTTACCACGTGATCAGCCGTGTCCAATGACACGCTGATCACCAGGAAATGCAATTGACGGTTCTCGGCTGCACTTTCCTCACGCTGTCAGAGTGTGAGGAAAGTACTGCTGAGAACCGGCAGTTGTCAGAGCGGGGCTCGGCACTGATGATCAGTGCTGCCAGTCAGTGCCCAGCAATGCCGACTATCAGTACCCATCATCAGTGCCAGCTCATCAGTGCTGCCTATCACTGCAACATCAACGCGCTTCAGTGAAGAAGAAAAACGACCTGTTTGCAAAATTTTATAATAGAAACAAAGACAAACTTTTTTTTTTTTTTTTTTTTTTTTTTTTTTTTTTACAGCGCAAAAAGTAAAAACACCCAGCAGCAAGTAAATACCACCAAAAGAAAGCTCTATTTATGATTTAAAAATGCTAAAAATTTCATATGGGTACAATGTTGCATGATCGCACAATTGTCATTCAAAGTGCGACAGCGCTGAAAGCTACAAATTGGCCTGGTAAGGAAGGGGGGTATAAGTGCCCAGTAGGCAAGTGGTTAAACATGTCCAGTAAAAAATCAAATTTTGTCATAAATTTATGCCAAAATGTATTCTGCTACATGTATTTGCCTAAAAAAAAATCCCAATACGTGTAAATGAATTGGTTTACATGAAAGTTATAGTGTTTACAAATGGCGGTATAGGTACTAGAATTTTTTTTTCTTCTACTAGTAATGACGGCGATCAACGACTTATAGCGGGAATTCTGACACTGGGGGGAACTGACTTGGTGTCACTGTACAATACAATGATCAGTGCTAAAAAAAAAAGCACTGATGCTGTACTAATGGCACTGGGCAGGAAGGGGTTAACATGAAGGGCAATCAAAGGGTAAACTGTGTGCTAAGAATGTTTTACTGGGGGGCTGTGTGTTGGCGCTTCACTGTAAGCACACTGCTCTGGATGGCTGTGCTGTGCACTGCCATCCAGAGCAGTGTGCCCGAGCTGACAAAGAGGAGGACTCTTAGTAAACAAAGCAGTCCTCCTCCCCATCAGAGATGCTCTGTAATCACCACGGGCTGGCGGGGAATCACCATCTGGGACATGGTGATTGGCAGCTACGAATGGTGGAGTGGATATGGCGTGTGGCTCACGTGCGTCCCCCACCCGGAAATACAAAATCGCGTATATATACGTGATTATGCGCACCCCTGCCGCCCTGTAGCAGTACATGTGCTATAGGGCGGTTGGAATGTGGTTAATGTCCGCATCCGTTAACATCTGTTTTTTTTTTAATGGAAGAAAACCCTATTTTTCTTCCATTAAAAAAAAAAAAAGTTATGGATGAAAAATGGACGTAAATGGATGTAAACGGACAAAAAATGGATGTAAACTTATGAAAAACAGATGTGAACTGATCCGATTTTTCGTGAAAAAAAATGTGACTGAACTGGTGAAAAAAATGTAATGCCTGTGTGAAAGGGGCCTAAATGTTTTACTTTTTATTTTAACCTGAATGGGTTGTTGCAAGGTGAAGGTTCATATATATACACTTTAAATCTGTTGGCTTAGCTTGGCTTTGCTCACACAGGGTATACTACAGATTACACCCCTGCGAGGGCCATGTTTACCCGCATGGGGATGCACAGGTGTTCCATGCAGGCAGTCCCATTCATGTCAATGAGGACAAAGCGGCTGCACAGACCCAGCAACTGCTACCAATTTGACATCCATGTGGGACCCGTTGCAGCCAAGGAAACTACCATCTTAGCATCTGTTTGATCTACAGTTGCTATGGGACTACACATGTGATCAGTTATGACACCAGCTTCACTGAGAGAACAATCAAAAGTGACAGTTCTCATTCACAGCATGCCTTGGATGTAATTGTTTTATAAGACCGTTAAATCAATGTGTGTAGCTCTGCTTTAAATGGCTACCAGGAGGCAGTAGAAGTTTTTAGCAGCAACTGTGGGTCCCAGTAGAGTGATTGCACTGGCTGTACATACTGTATGACTGTGCATGAAGTCGTAAAAAAAGTAATACTCACAGGAAAAAATTCCTGGGGGTCGCGACCCCTTTGGGGGTTGAACGACCCTTTCACAGGGATCATCGGAAAACACATATTTCCAATGTGTAAGAGCAGCTATTGTGTAGAAAGCAGCTGCTGTGTTGAAAGCAGCTACTCTGTTAAAAGCAGCTACTGTGTAGAAAGCAGCAGTATTGGAGGTAAAACGACACTACATGAATTATAATTACTGGGTAAATAATTTTATGGTTGGGGGCAGGGGCGGACTGACCATTTGGAAACTCGGGCACTGCCCGAGGGCCTGGGGTCAGTGGGGGGCCTCATGAGATGCTCCTGGTACCTTTTTCATAGGCTTTTTTGAGTTTGGGTAAGGACACAGGGACCCCATGATCCCCTTTTGCCCCCTCGTTGGGGGTCACCACAACATGAGGAACTGTATTAAAGGGTCGCGGCATTAGAAGGTTGAGAACAACTGCTTTAGACAGTAACCGGGAGTCACACTGGCCTTCCGCTTCCTCTTCTCGGCAGTTACCTCTCCCGCTGCTAGTCTTCATCAGCTGATGGTGAGGTAGGCTTCTCAGAAACACTTTCCTAATAATGTCCTGTGCACGCACAGTGGCAGGAGAAGAAGTGGAAGGCTGGGAGAGAGGTGTTTTCCCTCCAACATTGGTGTGCGTTCCAAGCATCGGAACTTTAACTCCAGTTGAGCCTGACACAAATGTGGGGGCTTTCAGCAATGGTTAACAGTTGCAGATCGCCTCTGTCTACATGCTTGTTGTGCGAGGATTTTATCTGTCAGGTACTTTTTGCTTTCCAGACTTCATGGACATGGCTGCATAATCATTCTTCTGGGATCTGTAGCTGTTGCGTATAGCCACCCATTCAGATGAAATAGATGAGGAAGCATGAGGTCTTTCACCAGTGGATGTATAACCACTTGCCCTCCAGAGGATTTTTTTTGCGTTATGGTGCTGCGGTACTTTAACTGACAATTGCGCGGTCATGCAACACTGCACCCAAATTAAATTTACGTCATTTTTTGAGCTATAAACAAAAAAAGACCAATAATTTTAAGAAATAAAACAATATTTTTGACTTTTTGCTATTAGACATGTCCAATAAACAAATTTAAAAAATCAAATTTCATCATAAAGTTGGAGCAAAATGTATTCTGCGACATGACTTTACTAAAAAAAAAAATCCCAATATGTGTAAATGAATTGGTTTACGTGAAAATTATAGCATTTACAAATGGCGGTATATGTACTGGAATTTATTATTTTTTTTTATACTAGTAATGGCAGCGATCAGCGACTTATAGCGGGACTGCGGCAGGCATTCTGACACTGGAGGGAACTGACTTGGTGTCACTGACATCCCCAGTGACACAATACAGTGATCAGTGCTAATAAAAAGCACTGACACTGTACTAATGGCACTGGGCAGGAAGGGGTTAACATCTGGGGCGATCAAAGGGTTAACTGTGTGCTGTGTGTGTGTTTTACGATAGGGCTGTGTCTGTGCTTTCCACTGTAAGCACATGGATTTGTATGGCACACTGCTTTGTTGGTCTTTTTTTGGTTATAGCGCAAAAAATAAAAAACAGGCGATCAAATAGCACCAAAAGAAAGGTCCATTTGTAGGAAAAATAGACATAAATTTCATTTAGGTGGAGCGCTGAATGATGGCGCAACTGTCTGTTAAAGGATTGCAGCGACATATCACAAAAAATGGCCTGG